CCAGGTGGGTCTTGAACCCATGGGCTCAGGCAGTCCACTCACCTCAGCCTCCCAAAGTGCAGGATTACAGGCTGAGCCACCGTTCCCGGCTCTGTTACAATGACTTTATACCTAGTTAATGCTTTATATTAAGTTCTGTTCATAGCTGGGCATGGTGGCACATGCATGTAGTTCCAGCTACTTGGAAGGCTGAGGCAGGAGGATTGCCTGAGCTCAGCAGGTCGAGGCTGCAGTGGCCATGAATGTGCCACTGCACTCCAGCCTGGGTGATGGAGTGAGACTCCAACTCAAAAAAAAAAATTCTGTTCAGATAGCTGGTGTAGTTTCTGGCTCCAGATTGAGTGGTCAGGGCCTCAGGTGTCTAGGCTGGTCCCGATCCTTTATTTAGATTCTGGAATGGAAACCCAAACAGAAGATCTTTAACCGTGCTGCCCAGTGAATGCTCCCATTCACTGCTGCCCTTGGAAACTTTACTGTCCCTGCCCTGCACCCCAGCCTGCAAGGAACATTAGCTGTGAAGCCAGGGCTGCTGCCCACAGCCGAGAAAACTGGTCCCACCCTCCCAAGGCCTGGGAAGTCAGCTCAGGGCCCCAGGTACTGCTTCAAAAGGCAGTTTCTTGCTTTTGTTTTTTAAGAGACAGGGTCTCACTATGTTGCCCAGGCTGACTTTGAACTCGTGGGCTCAAGCGACCCTCCCACCTCAGCCTCCCAGGCAGCTGGGGCTACAGGTGTGCAACACTGTGCAATTCTTTGGGGACAAGTAGCTTCAGCTGCTCTGCAGTGAGGCCAGCAGGGGCTATGCTGCCAGCATTTCATCTTGAAATGATTTCTGTGGATAAAAAGCCCTGTGGCCCTGTGGCATCATTCAGGGGTGCAGATGTGGGGTGGCCAGTGCTAAACTCCGAAGCAAGATTGACACCTAGGGTCACCATCTGTTAACTGAAGGGTGGGTCTAGAGTGACTCCAAGACCCCTCCTGGCCCTGACATTCTTGCATTTAGGATACAGGTCTGTTGTTACACTTGTGACTGGGTTTCCATCACCCAGAGTCCTTTTATTGTTACTCTGAACCTTAGGACCCGGGGAGTGGAGCGTTTAGTGACAGGAGAAAAGGCATAGCAATCATGAAGCAGGTTCTTGATATTCTTTCTGGCAAACCCCAGCCACAAGACAGGAGCCCAGTTTAAGGCTTCTGAGCCCCCCTTACCTCTCTCTCGTCTTTCCAGTGATCCTGCCCCACATCGGTAGTGCCACCCACGGAACTCGCAACACGATGTCCTTGCTGGCTGCTAACAACTTGCTGGCTGGCCTGAGAGGGGAGCCGATGCCCAGTGAACTCAAGCTGTAGCCAAAAGGGGGAGGGGACATCGAGGGCTGGGAGGCAAACAGTACCTTGGTGCTCTGCCGGATGCGCCCAGGCTTTATTTGGACCCACAGGCGGGAAGCCAAGGAAAATGCCTGTTCTGTCCTGATTCTGTGAGGGAACACTGGTGCTGATAGATGTGCTTGTCCCCTTTGTGGTTAGACACACCTGAGTCAGAGTGTTTAATTCTGTTATTAAATAATTATCTTAAAGACCGTCTCAGCCTGTGACTGGGGGAAGCTAACAAAAAGCATTGAGCTGGGTCTGGTGGCGCTGCACAGCTGGGGAAGCTGAGGTCAGAGATCACTTGAGCCCAGTTCAAGGTTGCAGTGAGCTATGATCACACCCCTGCACTCCATCCTGGGCATCATTCAGGGGTGCAGGGTTGTTGGTGCTAAACTCCTAAGCAAAACTGGCACCTCGGTTCACCATCTGTTTGTTTTTTTTTTGAGTTGGAGTCTCACTCCGTCACCCAGAGTGGAGTGCAGTGGCCACTCCCGGCCACCGCAGCCTCGACCTGCTGGGCTCCGGCGATCCTTCTGCCTCAGCCTTCCAAGTAGCCGGAACTACAGGTGCGCGCTACCATGCCTGGCTAATTTTTTATTTATTCTAGGGACCAGGTTTCAACAAGTTGCCTGGGCAGCTCTCGAACCCGTGGGCTCAGGCAATCCACTCACCTCGGCCTCCCAAAGTTCTGGGATTACAGGCTGAGCCACTGAGCCCGGCCTAGTTCACCATTTGTTAACCAAGGGCGGGGGGTCCAGATTGGCTTCAAGACCCCTCCTAGCCCCAACATTCTTGTATCTAACAAAATAAAAAAAGGGCAACCCCCTTGGGTCCCCTCCCACTCTGGGAGCTTTTCTTTCCTCTCAAATCCTGCTTTCTCAAAATAAAAAGAGCATCTATTTACCCCTTGTAAGTCAGGACATCCTGTGATCTGCTTCCCACCTCAGCCCTCACCCCAAGCATTTCCATTATTAGTACTGTCCAAACTACCTAACTCTTCATCCTCTATGCCCAAATTCCTTCACTTGTCCCTCACCAAGAATGGGACAAGGAGATCCCAGGTGTGACTGTGGCAATTGAGTCTGACATCAGGTTTTAAATTAAAGAGCACATACAATAAAGCAGAATTCATTGCAAGAAATAAAAACGAAGTAAAAGTACAACACTCTTACTTGTTTGATCCAGAGTAATTGGAGGTAGGTGGGTTTCTTCAGTTTAAAATTAGTCCCAGGGCCAGGCACGATGGCTCATGCCTGTAATCCCAGCAATTTGGGAGGCCGAGGTGGGAAGGTTGCTTGAGCCCCAGGAGTTCAAGTCCAGCCTGGGCAACATAGTGAGACCTTGTCTCTACAAAAAATAAGCTTTTTAAAATCACCATCTCACCCACTTCTCCCCAAATCAGCCACTATTGACTATTGCCAATGCCCTGTTCTGATCTCAAGGAATCTGCTTCCAGCTCTTCCCTACAGCCAAGCCAGACTGGCAAATGGAGTTTCCAACTTGAGAGACAGGTCCAGGCAGCAGCGCAAGATTAGGCAGACGCTCTGAGAGCAACTGGGTGGACTGGGAACAAAACTCGCGTGTCCATAGACAAAAGGCGGGGGAGGTGGAAGGGAATAATTTAAGGAGAACAACCAGTAATTGCTATTAACAGCACTGTTTTCTCGGAGACTTGCTTTTTTAATTAAATAATTTTATTATATGTATTTAAGGTATATAACAATGTTATGGACAACATACGAGGCTTGCTTTTAAAAAAGTACTAGTCAAAGTGGGGCTAGCAGAGAAAGAGACACTACCCTTTTTGGTTTCAACTTTAATAAACCAAGCAAAATAAAAACACATATTTGGAGGCATGAATGTGACAAATTTTTTATTTCAAAATCTTAAATTGTGACCAGCATAGCACCACTGACATGGGTGCCTTCATAGAACTTTAGGATCCGATCACCAGAAAAGAGTCTACATGATCATGCCAGGCCAATTAAGGCTAACCAATCAAAACTTCAGGTACCCAACCAGTTATAATCCAGGTAGAACCTACAGTTCACAGGAACCCTGGGACTGGTTTTCCAGGGAACCTTGACGTTATGTTTTAAGTGCTACAGCACGTACGAGGACACTGGCCCACAGCTTGCTTCTCACATGTAGAAACTGATTTGACATAAGAGGTAGATGAGAGATTCCAGGTTCCATCTAGCAATGGAGAGGCAAGGCTCCAGCATGTGTCAGAGACAACCCCCAAAGCAAAATGTCTGCTAACATGTGAGTGGAGGTGAGGGCACAGGCTCCTGGCACCGCCTCCTTAAGATGGAAGGGAAGGAGCACCACGCTGCTCTGCCCATGCCACTGGCTCCTCTCCCTGGGCCCAGGTAGGGCCTCTCTCATTCTCCAGGCTGACACACCTGAGCCCCCAGATCAACCTCCTCACAAGACGTCCCTACATCGTGTGGAGGGGTGGCTGTGGCATCTCCTCACACTGTGTCAGAACATGGACTGCCCACAATGAGTCATAGGAACTGAATGTCCCAGGTAATCCCCTACACTCCAAGGGGCTCTTTCCCACGTCTACTCAAAAGAAATCGCAGATATCCCTATTGGTTTTCCTGCCTGGGAATCAGTTCATGGGAGATGGAAAGCCCCTCTGGGAAGTTATGGATTCATCCACAGATGTACAACTGCACACATTAGATTAAGAGAACACACGCTAATTTTTGTTTTAGACTACACATAAATACTTAGCTTTCTAAACACAAGAATGGAATAATTCCTCTAAATTATGCACAATGGTTTGGTATTTCTAAAAAAGCTGGATCAAAAAATAAAATGAACTCATGTTCATGCATGAATTAGACTGAGTTCATGAATCCTACAAAGATACATTAACCTGTGCTAGTCTCCTGGATGCACATAAGCCAAAGCTTGGCCTAACATAGGTGCCACTAACAGCCTTGCTGGCACAGTGTCAGAGGACAGCAAAGTGGCACTGGGGAAGTGAGCCGGCGGGCCCACAGTGACCCAAATGCCTCTCCAACAGTCTCAGATGCTACCCGCTACACGGCATAGCCTGGCTATGCCATGGGCTGCCTAATTCTCTTACGGAGCCTGGAAAATATCCACGACCACTGCTACTTTTGGATTTCAAACAATTTTCAACATTCAGTATTGGACTAGGGAAACAACAATAAAAGTTGAGGGTCTATACTGCTGGAGTACAGTATATAACAGTAATAATGGGAGAGGGGTGGCATTTTTGGTTAGTCTGTAATTGAAAACAGTAATCTAGGCCTGGAGAGACTCCACTTGGGGCATGGGAGTGTGAAGAAATGAAGCAGAGCTTGTCCTCGGGTACGATGTGTCAGCCTGGACTGGCCCTTGACGTCTGGATGGAGCAAGGGGTAAATGTGCCAAGAAAGACCCCACAAAACATGACCCCACATCATCAGAACAAAGACAAACACAAGCTCTTTTGTGACTTCCTAACATGGAACTGTAACATCTGTGATACAAGTTGGTTAAAATACTGCTAAACAGCACATACAGGAACAATATCCTACTTGTCACTCTCTACAAGCACATACTCCATTTACAACTGTTTTTAAAACCAGAAAAAACTGTTAAAACATCTATCCAACAGTGATGTATTCAAAAGTATATACACCTAATAGTCCAAGAGAATGCTTTCTCTGGACACAGTGTCAGCACCATCAAAGTGCAGTGTCTGTGACTGCAAATCAGACAAAAATAAAAAATACAGTACTTTCTGAGGCCTAGGACTAGCTCATGATACACTTTAAAGCATTTGTGGCAGACAGGCATGTCCTCAAGGGCCTTCCTTTTAGACAGGCACCAAGTCGCCACTGGTTACACATAAGTGCTTTTTGCATCACTGTACAGTGATATAATATTCCCATCAGAGGGTTTAGGAGATTTAATTAAATCCTTCACAGAGTTTTACAAAAATTGCTAAAAAAATTTTTTTGCACTTCTATTTTTAAATTTTTAAATGTGCCACTTTTAACAACATCAATTACAAACTACTTTCTGACTGCATTACTCAACCCTAAGGAAGAACTTGCTTTCAGGGACTGCATCCCTCTCCCAAGGCGTGCACTTCATTCAGAAATGCAGCAGCATAAATGCTACACGTGTCAGTTCTCCACTTATCACGCTGAAATTTGCAATAGCCACCGGGCAGCCTGAAGCTTCAACCCCAATGGCATTAACTGCTTACCAAAAGAGAGTCAGTCCTACAACTGGCCTCTGCATTGTCTCGTGAGGACAAACGGCTAGAGCAAAGTGCTGGGAAGATTGCTGCTCTGCCAGCGCAGGCAGGTAGTCTTCGAGTGTTTATACAGGTGGCTGGACTGACTGAACCTCTTGCCACACTTCAGGCAGGCGTAGGGTTTTTCACCTGTGTGAACACGGATGTGCTTCTTGCAATCTGTCAAAGTCAGAAAAGTTTTGCAGCAGATTTTGCAGGCATACTTGCGAGCTCCCTCCACAACCAAAACATTGTGCTCTGATAAGGCCTTCTTGCACTTGGACAGGACATCAGCAGATGCCCTGGTCAACTGTGGAGGGCCAGGCTGGGAAGGATGGCCATTTTCAAAGGAGGATGTGGCGCCATTCATCATTAGCTGGGAACTGGCAGAGTTTTCTGGGATCTGTGAGCTCCTGACAGAAGTTACAACTGGCATTTTGGGAGCTATGCGGCGGTAGTATGGAAAGTTACTGGCTCCTCCCCTTGGGGAACCTATCATTACCCGGGAGAAGGAGGAGTGGAGGCCCAAACCAGACCTGGAAAAATCCATCCCAAACTGTTCTCCTCCTTGGTAGCCTGAAGTCTGCACGCACGGCAGGCCCATCACCTCCTGCATAGGCCTAACGAAGTGGGAGTCTGCAGGTTCACTAAATGGGTTCTCCACATGGGAGCCAGCAGCAGAGGAGGGCCCGCCCGCAGGCCCAGCTTCAGGACTCAGCAAATAAGGGGCCTCGCTCTCCAGCCTGCAGTCACTAGTGGTGTTCGGGATATTATCATCATTGTTCTGATTTGCACTGAAGTTGCTTCCTCTGCTCTTGTTAAGAAAATTTGAAATACTAAAAGTGGACTTATGCTCTAGGTTATTTGTGACTTCCAAAATGTGGATGTCACCTACCCTATCCGTGCTAGACTGGGGATCTGAAAAACTCCGATCACTGCTTTCAGGGCTGAGGTCTATCTTCTCGGCACTGACCACAACTCCTTCCACTTCCACAGACTCACTGCCTTCTGCTTGTGAGGTCACATCGCTCACTTCATCCTGAGGCTCAGGTGAGCTCAAGGGCTCGGATTTGACCACCACCCTCATGTGCTCCTTCTCACCAAGGCCAACTTCAGGATTGTCACATGGAAAGCCACTTTTCTCTGTTGCAGCATCCTGATCAAAACTAGTTTCAACCTGAGTTGCACGCGAGGCCATGGACAACTGTGCCATGTTGTTGCCACTGTTGTCAGACTGGCTGGGCACCTGGGCATCTTCTTGAGCGCCGAAAGACTGGTCAAACATGATAGCACCGTCTTCTTGGTTGTCGGTCATCCCGTCGGCTTTCGGATTATCCACAATTTTCAGAGAATCTGGGGAAAAGAACTCTTCCCGAGGATGGACCCCTGAAGGCCCGCTCTCTGGAGTAACAGCTGAAATGGCAGACTCATCCATGGAGGGCCGGAGGCGTTGCCTGGCTCGCTCCTCTGCAGACTGCTTGCGCTTGTGAAGGCGTCTCATGGGGAAGGGCGTCCGCTGGTCCAGGTTATTGCGCATGGAGGAGCTAATGGGGGCTGGCTGCTCCTCACCGCTCTGGCTAGAATTGAGTGCTGAACTCACGATGCTTAGTCCCAGCTGCTGTAGCATAAAGGAGCGCTGCATGCGGGCGCTCTGCTCCTGAACGCGCTCACTGGGGGGAGACATGGGCAGCGTCCTTGTCGTTAGGTAATGTTTACACGCCTTAACAACAGAGTTCAAATGCAGGTGAGAGGCTGCCAATAAGACATCCATAACATTGCTCTCCCCCAGCATGAGGGTGGAGGTATACATCATGTCAATCAGTGCAGCAAAGGCCTCTGCTGTCACTACCTCGCTATCCAGCTGGATCATATTCATGGTCTGATCTCCCTCTGCCACTGAGAACAGGGCTCGGAAATGTGTGCTGCATGCTGCCAGCACAGAGCGGTGGGCTTTAAAGTGTCTGTTCCCCACTACAATGACACAATCACAGAGCTGCCCATGAAGTCTCTGGTAGTTCAGCTGCTGGAAGATCTGTTCAAAGTGACCAGGAAAATCCATGATCCTATATGAAAACAAAGAAAGAAAAGTGTTAAGATGTAGAAAAGCTTAAGTCAAAGTCAGAACACAAAGGGTATGATAAAAAGAGAGGTGTGGGTGGTCAAGCTTGGACCATTTGCAACTTGTGATGATGGGCACATACAGTAAGAATTGTCAGATAAGGAACAGATGTCAATTCATCCATCAGCCCAGGAAGCATGCACACATATGGGCTTAGGTATTGGCTGTTTACAGGTTCCCTTCACTCTTCATATGACCCACTGGTAACACGGAGGGTCTGTGTTAGTAAAGACCAGCACGTGGGTGATGGCATATCCATTCCACAGAAGTTTGTTAGAGTTCTGCATTCCCTAAGGACAGTGAATGAATGCCAAGAAATTCCAAATAATCTTCACAAACTTAAATAAGAAAAAAAAGCCAGGTGCGGTAGCTCATGGGTTTGAGACCAGTCTGGGCAACTTGGCGAGATCTGGTCTCTACAATAAATTTCAAAAATTTAGCTGGGCATGGAGGCGCACGCCTGTGGTTCCAGCTACTTGGAAGGTTGAGGCAGAAGGATCACCTGAGCCCAGCAGGTCAAGGCTGCAGTGGCTGTGAGCAAGTCACTGTATTCCAGCCTGGGCAACAGAGTATGACTCTGAATAAAAAAAAAAAAAAGGAAAAGAGAAAAGAGGGCAGATGAGTGGGAAAGATTTTCAGTTATAAATGGCAGAAGATTGCACACACACATTTACTCCCTACTGATTTCCTGAAACCCCATCAAAAATACACTAAAGTTTTTTGTTTTGTTTTTTCATTTTTGAGTTGGAGTCTCACTCCATCGCCCAGGCTGGAGTGCAGTGGCACACTCATGGCCACCCCAGCGTTGACCTGCTGGACTCCAGCAATCCTTCCGCTTCAGCCTTCCGAGTAGCCGAACTCAGGCATGTGCTACTATGCCCGGCTAATTTTTTGAGCTTTATTGTAGAGATGAGGTCTTGCCAAGTTGCTCAGGCTGTTCTCGAACTGTGGGCTCAGGCAATCCACTTACCTTGGTCTCCCAAAGTGCTGGGATTAAAAGTTTGAGCCACCGCGCCTGGCCTGTTGTTGTTTTAAACCCTCAAGAAAAAAAAAAATGGAAAAGACTTCAATAACATTTTGGAAGATGGAGAGCAGCAGGTGAATGAGTCCTAACTGACTTAGCACACCCACAAAGCAAAAATCCTAAATTGGCAGTGGAGAAAACCACCTGATATATAAACTCTCCTCTCAAAGGCTCAGGTACTGATAGCCTAAGTGATGGGGAATTAGAGTGAAAGTGTGACTAAGACAGGAGGCCTGACTGAAAGTCTATCCAATAAACAGAAAGAAAAAAAAATCATAGACACAGAAATTTTTTTTTTTGAGTTGAAGTCTCACTCTGTCGCCTAGGCTGGAGTACAGTGACACACTCACAGCCACCCCAGCATCAACCTGCTGGGTTCCAGTGATCCTTCCACCTCAGCCTTCCAAGTAGCTAGAACTACAGGCACATGCTACCACGCCCAGCTAATTTTTGATTTATTGCAGAGACGAGATCTCGCCAAGCTGCCCGTGCTGGTCTTGAACCCACGGGCACAGGCAATCCACTTGCCTTGGTCTCTCAAAGTGCTGGGATTACAGGCTGAGCCACTGAGCCCAGCCAGAAAAGATAAATTTATAGAAAACAGATTATGGTTACTTGGGGCTGAGGGTGGCATTGGGGAATAAGTGCAAATGGGAAGAGGGAATTTTTGGGGTGGAGAGTGACAGAAATGTTCTACAATTTAATTGTGGTCAGAGTTACACAACTCATAAATTTGTTAAAAATATTTGAATTGAGGGCAAGTGTGGTGGCTCATGCCTGTAATCTCAGCACTTTGAGGCTGAGGTGGGAGGACTGTTTTAAGTCAAGAGTTTGAGACCAGTATGGGCAACGTAGCAAGACCCCTTCTCTAAAAAATATTTTGAATGGGACTAAAACATGGGCTTTATGGTAGGTACATTATACCTCAAGAAAGCACAAAATTATACCTCCATATAAAAAAATGAGAAAGAGGCCAGGCTCAGTGGCTCAGCCTGAAATTCCAGCACTTTGGGAGGTCGAGGTGAGTGGATTGCCTGAGCCCGCAGGTTTGAGACCTGCCTGGGCAACTTGATGAGACCTCATCTCTACAATAAATCAAAAATTAGCCAGGCATGGTAGCACGCACCTGTAGTTCCAGCTACTTGGAAGGTTGAGGTGGAAGGATCACCGGAGCCCAGCAAGTCGAGGCTGCAGTGGCCGGGAGTGGCCACTGCACTCCAGTCTGAGTGACAAAGTGAGACTCCAACTCAAAAAAAAAAAGAGAAAGAAAAACAAAAGATGAACAAGCTTGAACCAAAGCCATTTTTTCAGAGTCCATTTTGAACTGTTGGGCTGCTATTAAACTAACTAACCTGTTTAGAATATATCTTTGAGCCGGGCTTGGTGGCTCAGCCTATAATCTCGCGCCTTGGGAGGCTGAGGTGAGTGGATTGCCTGAGCCCGTGGGTTCGAGACCTGCCTGGGCAACTTTGTGAGACCTCATCTCTACAATAAATCAAAAACTTAGCCGGGTATGGTAGTGTGCGCCTGTAGTTCCAGCTAATTGGAAGGCTGAGGCAGAAGGATCGCCGGAGTGCAGCAGGTCGAGGCTGCGGTGACCAGGAGTGGCCACTCCACTCCAGTATGGGCGACAGAGTGAGACTCCGACTCAAAAAAAAAAGGAATATATCTTTGATAGCCAGGCATGGTGGCTCACGCCTGTAATCCCAGCACTTTGGAAGGCAGAGGTGAGAGGAATACCTGAGTTCAGGGGTTGAAGACCAGCCTGGGCAACTTGGCAAGACTTCATCTCCCCAGTAAATCACAAAAATTAGCAGGGCGTGGGGGTACACGTCTGTGATTCCAGCTACTTGGAAGGCTGAAGCAGAAGTATCATCTGAGCCTAGCAGGTCGAGGCTGTGGTGGCTGTGAGCATGCCACTGCACTTCAGCCTGGGCAACAGTGAGATTCCGACTTAAAAAAAGAATATATCTTTGATGATATTAAGAAACAATTGTTTTTTTCCCTGAGTTTTGATAATGATGTGATTTTTTAAAAAGAATACTTTTTAAAGATAGAAATATTTACAGAAGAAATGATATGACGTCTGAGATTTAATTCAAAAGTTTATTTTGTGTATTTGAAATTTTTCATAATAAAAAGTTAAATTTAAAAAGGAGGAAAAAGAGGAGCTCACAGTGGCCTATGACTGATCCCTTTCCAATGCTGAGTTGGAACCAATGACCTCTGGACTCACTGAAAACAAGAACTTACTTATTTTCATCCAAGAAACTGTTGCACTTCTTCCAAGGAACTATGTGACTGCTGATTTAGAGCCTCTATCCTGACTAGAGTTGGTGACAGAACCTCATTAAATGGGTAGAAAACAGGGCCAATAACCCCAAAGAGGCACTCCTGGTGCCCCCTGCTCACAGGCTCTATAGAAGCTGCATGAAAACTCTGTCTCTCCCTCTCCAGAGAATGAACCTCTGGTCTTCTGGGATGGGGGTTAGGTCGAATGTAATGGCTCAACTCCAGGATACAGACGTATGCAGACTGAGTATCTAATGTGCCTGGTACTGGGGATAATATGATCAACAAGAAGATCCAATCCCTGCCCTCAGGGGGAATAAACTAATAAACAGTCAAGTTTATTAACTGGGGAGTCCCTCCAATAAAGTATTGTAAGTGCTATGATAAGTCTAAGATACAATAGGAGACAAGAAGGGGCAGCTGCCTCTGACAGGGGTGGGCAGCGGGGAAGGCCTGTGAGGGCAGGGAGGAGAACCTTCAGTTTCCTGCAGGGTTTGGAGGCTGAACCAGAGCGAAAGACACCAGGCGAGACCCAGTGGCTGGGATCAGTCTACACCAAAAATCAGCTCTATGCTAAAATCAGATTAGCAGCCAGGCTCCTATCTCCCAAGGACAGTGGAGATACCTCTCTGGGGAAACTGAAGTTTGGGAGTCCCTCTAATAAAACACTTGGGTCTCTATCTAATTTCCCTATGGTGAAACTCACTCATCCTCAGGGCCCACCCATCCGCTCAGTTTCTAATCAGTTTGTGCTTTACTCTTAAATATGAACAATTAAATAGCACCACAAACTGGAAGAAAAAGACCTCTAACATAAAAGACAAAACCCCTAACAAATGGGAAAAAAGGATTTGGAAGAAACAATGTAGAGGGGAAAAAAAAAAACACTAAAGAAAAAAAATACCTATAATTAACATCCTCAGAGATAGAAGATACCACATCCATGAAACAAGATATTTCTTTTTTTAAAAGAGAAATATTAAAGGAACACAAAAGTCACTGGAAATTTAAAATAGGGGAAAAAATGTAGCTAGGCATGGTGACTCACTTGTGCAATCCCAGCACTTAGGGAGGCCAAGAGAGGATTGCTTGAGCCCAGGAGTTCAAGACTGCCTGGGGAACATAATGAGATCTCGTCTCTACAAAAAAATAAAAATAAAAAAATTAGCTGCACATGGTAGTGCACACCTGTAGTACCAGCTACTTGGGAGGCTGAGGCATAAGGATATCCTGAGCCCAGGAAGTTGAGGTTGTGGTGAGCTGTGAGTGTGCCACTGCCATCAGAGCGAGATACTGACTCAACAAAAAAAAAAAAAAAAAAAAAAAAAAAAAAAGCCAGGCCTGGTGGCTCAAGCCTATAATCCCAGCACTTTGGGAGGCGGAGGCGAGAGGACTGTCTGAGTCCAGGGTTCAAGACTAGCCTGGGCAACTTGGTGAGACCTTGTCTCTACAACAAAACAAAAAATTAGCTGGGCGTGGTGGCACACACCTATAGTTCCAACTACTTAGAAGGCTGAGGTGGAAGGATCGCCTAAGCCCAGCAGTTCAAGGCTACAGTGGCTGTGAGTGTGACACTGAGATTCTGATTCAAAAAAAAAAAAACAAAAAACTGAGACTACATGTGTGTG